TCCCGCTGAGAGTGAGGGCACGAATGAGCGAAAACGCCAGTGTCTTCTGTGGAAACGGCCAGATCCGCCCTCGAGGCTTTACTGAATTCTGAAGCCCGCATAAGCGGCGCTTCAAAGTTCCCCTCCTCAAAGGTTTCTATATGCTTGTGATGGTGGACTACGGAAATACTCGGTAGGCAGCGCAACAAAACATGCCGAAGGATAAGGAGCTTACGGGACTGGAATGAAACAGAGTGGGAAGACTCATCAGCCATGAATGGGTCCAGGAGCAGGTCGCATAATTTCGCCATGAAGCGTACCAACCTGGGTGATCAGTCTGTGTTCTGGGTTTATGTGAGGGTGAAAGCGGCCTACTAGCGAGGACCAGACACGAAGCTGCAGGAACATAACTTGTCACTTTCCAACTTTTTCCTGCTAATAAACTATCAAGTGTGGTTACGTTGAAGATCCATATCAGTTAGAGGAAGTATACTGCACAGGGACTAGGCCTAGTCTCTGATCAAGGTGCGCACACAGACACATATAAACCAGATTGATGGAAAGGACGGCATTGGTAAGAGACCAGGATCAAAGACAGGGAATAAGAAGAAGCGCCGGCGGTTGTTTCGTTTCCTGTTTCCTGACAGGAGAGCGCCTAGGGCAGGGCATGGTCTAGGCGTTGAAGTGTGGTAAGACGCCAAATGGTGAGATTTCTGGGAGGGGGATGTGATATTGATTCATAGGGTCGAGAGATCAGATACTGTTTGAAGGCCGTTGCTCAATTGCTCAAGTTATGTTGCAACAATGATGAGGGAGTGTCTTTGATCCAAGAGACCGACATCTGTGATGTGAGTGAGTGATAGGCAGGCTGGCTTAGAAGCGGGTACATGGACACGATAGCACTCAAAGTACCGGTACCTACTTGAAGAGAACGCCACACCCACACAGCAAAACCTCTTCCCTTTTTTTTTTTGCCCTAGACCGGGATCGCTGTGAGTCAATGTCAATGCCCTACACTATAGTAACAGTCTGAAAACCAAAAAAAAGGACGAGTCTTTTGTGCCGTCTGCTTGCATTCTTTCAGCTGTCAAGGTATAGGATGCTATAGTCTCTCAGCGTCCGATACGTAAGGTACACAAGGTACGCAAGGTACAGCAAGTATTGCCTCTTGGGTAAGCCAGCATATGCAGGTCAACACAGCCGCACGCCTCCTCCGAGCAAAATGCAGAACCTGACCTGAATATTTCACACCCTCCGAGACACCCCGGACATGGTCAGTGTGCCGTGCAGCTGCAGATGCATCGCAGATGTGGAAGAGGCCAAAGAGTTAGGCTTACGCTGCCTGGGGGCCCGTCATGAGATGAGGTGGCTTGGCTCCCTCCAACAGTGGGCCATCGCCTATAGCCACTTCACTAAAATACTAAATACAGGGCTGCCTTTTAGCTCATGAGTCTCCGCTCCGACTTCACCAGCACCACCAGCGGCTTTTAAGTTACCCACCACCACTACAACTACAACTGCAAGACTCATCAGTAGCCGACCCGACGCCACCACCCAACCCCAAAGTATATCATCTCCCCACACCACCTGCACCCTCCGTTTCCCCTTCCCTCTTCTTCCTTCTTTACGAGCAATTCGTCCTACGTTCTCTTTCTTCTTACTCGGTTGCGGCAGCTTAGCAGGCGATTTCACCTCAAAGATCAGACAAGATAATATTATAGTACCGCTATCAACCTCTACTATCTACCAATCCTCCCCGAATCCCTGCTCTGCTCCGTCTTCCGACGTTTTCCTTTTTGATATATTATTGTTCGATATCCCTTCCACCGTATTCCGCCTTCAACCAGCGATAAACGCAACGCCCAACGTCGACGTTTGACGTTTATTACAACGTCCCGTTACCGTTCTACGATACCCGCCCCCCGTTCCGCCCTAGCGATAGACATAGACATCCCTGCGCTTCGCTCCGCTTCGCTTCACTAACATGCCCGTCCAACTACTTCCGGCGTCGGCCGCCGCTTTCGCTCCCCGGGCTTCATCAGTCAACGTTGTCTTGGGTTCAAAAGTTGAGCCTTGGCTTACACAGACTCTCAAGCGCATCAACCGAGTCAAGCGTCCTCTCAATTCCGTACCTCAACATCAGCGATGTCTCACCGAGACTCTCTCATCACCAAACGCCATCTGGACCCTGACTTCTCTCATGCTACCCAAGACCCCCGAGTCGGACTTCAAGCGTGATGTCAGCAACCCTTTGGTCGAGGCCATCATGAATTACGAGCTCGTCCATGTTGAGGCTTACATTGTCCATGTCGACATGGTTCTGCGAAATGAGGTCGCCTACAAGCTAACCAAAGACACCATCGATGCTCTTGTCGAGTACCACAAGGAGATTCACTGTGTCGATGCAAAGGCCAACACATACGACTGGACAGACAAGGAGCAGCAATGCAAGAAGCTTCACGACGATTTTGTTCAGGACATCAACAAGTTTGTATTCCGCACCCACGTCTCTGCTCTTGAGGGTCTCGAGGAGGAGGGCGCTGGTGAACTCCTCTGCGGCAAGAGCGAGGAGGTCAAGAACTGCATCAGTGCTCTTATGAAGCCCCTACTACCCCCTCCTCCTCCTCGTGTTGTCGAAGTTGTCCGACAACCTACACTGCTCCCTAGCTCTCCTGTCAGCAACATGTGGTCGCAACATGGGCTTCACGGCAATCTTGCTGCTGTCGACTCATGGAGGGTGCTTCCCTCAAGCCCCAGCGTCACATCATCGGCCGACTCAAACACAAGTCCTATCTGGACACCCATGACCATGGACGATCTTTCCCCTACTCCCGCCTTCACCCAGCCTCATTCTACGGCCGGCTTCTTCTGGAGCTCGCCTCAAGTGACAGCACCCATCCCCGCCCTTCCTCTTCCTAGCATGCTCGCCCCTGCTCAATGTGGTGTCGGCATGGGCATGGCAGGAATGGGAGGCATGGGCGGCATGGGAGGCTTTGGCTGGGATCGATACCAAGAGTATGCGACCATCATGTGACAACCAGGGCCCCAGGACAGCTATCCAGTGGTGACGACCTCGAGCTATTAATACTGCACCAATCCCTTCCTCGTTTCCCGGAGAAAAGTTGAAGCTCTCAAATTTCGCAGCGGCATAGAACTATCATCCATCATGGGCATGGCATATCGGCGTTTTATTGCATCAGGAACGGTGTTTCGAACAATCTTTTTTAAGAATATCCCCTCTCGCATTGTTTTTATTTTTTTGTCTTTCCCTTTGTTTTCATAGCAAGCGTTCTTTTGGTTTCGGGGAATCTGGTCTTATCATTCCTCTCCGGGAAACACTCTTCAACGGTCGTTCACACAAACTCTCTATTGTCTCTGGACTTTTCTTTCATCTACCATAACACCACATGGCTGGATCCGGGGGCGGGTATTTGGATGCATTTACAACCGGGCAGGGATCCGATACAGGCGGCTTGTTTTCTTTTGGCCTTTTTCCTTCCGTCATCTTTGGTTCTCAAGAAAAAGACGTACACGCAGCAATGCACGACGCTCGGCTCTAGTCCGAGACAGAAACTTCTTTACGGATTCTTCGCTGATATCCCCGGAACTTTCTCTTTCCTTCTTTATTTCCCCGTTTTCTTTATCTGTTCGGTTTAGAGAGGCTTCTTGGAAGACATCCCCACAAACAAGGACAACACACAACTGACACTCACTTCGCCTCGTTCTTTGGCTTGCTTCCCGATTCACGACGATATTATTTTAATGACGACCTCTTCTACGACTCGATGACGAATGACGACTTCTTTTCAGACATGATACGACTTACGAGCGGAATCACGAATAATCGGCTTGATGTCGAAACCTGACTTCTTTTCGAAAGAGTATCGGACGCTGAACCTCACGCTTCATTCGGCACGATGACTAGCCTCCTAGATGGTGACTGGACTGGTTCCAGGACATTGCATCTGAACGCAAGGCCGTCTCGACTACATCGCGTACGCCACCACGGGAATATCTGGAATATACCCGTAAAGGCTTGACACCGGCTGTCAAACGGGATCACCACCCTGCGCCGATTGACCTTCAGTCTTCGGTGTAAGGAGAACGGAAAGATGGAGTGAAATCACGGGATTCTTCCAATGAGCTGGGCCATGGTATCTCTGCTGGGCAGAGTCAGCTGCACAGTCTCTATCTAACCCGATCTGCTCCAGCCAACCATCCTCTGCACCCAACAGCCCTATCCGCAGGCTCACCGCCCCGAATGTGAATCAACACGCGTTTCCGAGTTGAGGTGACAACCACTGCGCCGTTTGAGCCTGCTAGACGGGCCTCGGCCGATGGAGGACGCCGCTTCGAGGATGAACCTGTGGTTACTCACATTTGGATCGATGGAATGACTGGGATAGGGTAGGGATGGTTTAGGGCAGAATGTAGGATCATCTCCCTACAAACCTCTCGCGCCAGGCGAGTCAACATGCAGCTTGGCCTGCCAGACTTGTCACAATGCGGAGGGGTCGCTGTAAGAGAGGAGGGAACGGTGACTGCTGAGCAGTGCACTCCACCTTCTCCGGACCCTTTATTGAGTCCATCGGCTAAAGATGCTGGTATCTAAGTGGCGTGGAAGGGAAACAGGATACGCCCTGGTGGCGGTTCCCTTGCACAAGGACAAGTCTGCTTTGCTACAACGATTCCCTGCTCGTTGTCTTGTCGTTGCAGTATTAGTTAATCTGAACAAATAAAAAAAAAAACATGTTCAATGAAACTTAAGTTCTCCCTTCTGACATGATGTATTCTGTGATATATTCTTCAGATGGCGCTGACATATCACGAAAAGAGTCATTGAAAGAAGCTTCAGCAAATTGAATAGAATTAGATATTATTTCATTTCCCTGTCCCAATCCAAATCTATAACCGCCGTCTAGATAACTCCGTCTATGTAACTATGCGAGGTATTTCACTTTTTAGTCCATGATATCAAGTTATTAAAACCCAGAGAACAATACCCCTGATCTCTCCGTCGTTCAGTCCTGGATGGCAAATGCTTCCCTGGCGGTCTTGCTGCTGCGTGCCAGACGCTCACCATATCTGATGAATACAAAGGGAATGACGCCCATCGCCAGAGCAATGAATGCGAGGACCGAAGGCGCCCAGTGAAACCCCAAGTCATTATACATGCTGTCAGCGGCGAGGGGCAGCGTGGTAGCCCCGATAGATCGCAACATGGCAGCAGCACCGAGAGCAGAGGCAGAATGACTTCGGAACACATCGGTGAGATAGTTGGTCATCCCCATGAAGAGAAGCTGGAAACCAAGGCCGAAAAAGATACCGCCAAGGCTTGGAATGATGGGAGACACGGAGTCCCAGACCGTCCAGCCGAGCCAGAAGAGGGAGATCACCATGCTGAAGATGGTCAGTTGCAGTCGATAATATGGGACAGTGGGAGAACACACCAAGGAGAAGCAATGCACGCAAGAGGAAGTCTTCGATAGATGTGGTTCTTTGTCCACTCGGCACCAGCAGCAGTTTGCTTGTCATGGTATCGAGTATAGATTGCGAAGACACCAAGAGACAGTACAACACCAACGCAGACTAATACCATGTCAGCATAGAGACATCAAGTTTAATGGATGAGACCTACAGGGGATATATGCAAGCCCTGCCATACCGGGAGAAAGACCATAGAATCCTAGGCGACAGTTAGATCATTTGACTGAGCCAGGGGTAGATATCAACATACCTTGGAATACACGAGGATACGCCTGAAACATGAGGTAAAAGACAGAATATGCTAGAGTCAGATACACCGAAGTAGATGTAAGGATAGGCTCAGTAAAGAGTAGCTTCATGGGTCGAAAGAAGATCTTGCGGACGTTGAAGGGCTTCAGCTCCAAGGGCTCTTCGTCGGTTGACTCAGTCTTGTTCTCCTTCTCTCGCCTCTTGATATGCGCCTTGACCATCTTGTTATGTAGCACTGGGGCATAAGTCTCTGGGATGGTAAGGGTAAGAGGAAGTCCTGCAATGGCCATCATGCCAGCAATCCAAAATGGCCAGCGCCAGGAGACGGGAGATGAGAAGCCAGATACAATGGGCCCAATCAGAGGGCCGATTGTAGTCACGGTCATGTAAAGAGCCATGGCGTTGCCTCTGGTCGAAGGATCGTTGAGGATATCTGCATATAAACCTCCGATGACAGTGGTGGGAGCAGCAGCGTTGATACCACCGAGAAACCTAAAGACTAGGAGGGCAGCATAGTTGGGTGCGCCAGAACAAGCCAGCATAAAGATGATGTATCCCAAGTAAGTGCCAATCAGAACAGGCCGCCGACCAATATATTCACTCAGAGGTCCAAAGAGAAGAGGTCCTAGGACATATCCAACCATATACAGGGAGTTGAGGAGTATGAGGTGAACGGGGTTGGTAACGCCGAACTGTTCGGCGATGATATCAAGAGCCCCCGAGGGCATAGAAGAGCCAAAGTTTCCATTGAAAGTACACGTGAAGCCGGCGATGACAATATGTAGTTTTCTCATAGGTGAGAGGTTGAGGGGATTCCAAGATTCTGTGTCAGACCAGCCAGATTCGTCTGAAGAGTCGTGTCTCTTTTCGGCGTCGACATTGGTAGTGTCAGCCATGGTGGCATCGCTGCCAAATAGTTGGGTTTCGTTTCCTCCCATGGTTGATAACAGTTTTATAGTGCACATGAAGTTGAAGATGAATTATATTGAGGTTGCAGGCACGTCTATATAGTATTCACCTCCATGACAGTTCCACAACAGGTGGATATAAAGGGATAAATTCTTTAACAATGATTTTCCTCACGTCATCTGACTATTTCGTTGTGATTGCTCGACTCGAGTTTGTGTGAAGGGCGCAATGATTTTTGGTGATGGTTCTAAGTCAAGCCCTTCGGCGATTGGTTCTCATGGCCGATTCAGTATTTTCTCTGATGGAGAAGATTCATAATATAACTTCCGAGAAGAAAATGGTAAACAATGATTGGGTAGAACTTCCGAGACACCATTGGAAAGCCCCCTGTTACCGTGGCTCTATGTTACCTTGCCTACTTAGTTTATAATTTTCTCCGAGGCAAGGGCGTACTATAGAAATCGGATCGGATGGTCGGCCGGTTTGCTTAGGTTAGTAGTTAGAGCCTACAAAGAGCTCTTCTGTGCACTGCAAAGGAAGACAAGAAAGCCGAAAAAAGGAGATCTGATTATAAATCTCGGAACAGAAAGAACACCTTAGTACCTACCTATAATGGGTATGAGGTGATATTTCCTCTTTGCAACAATGAAATAAAGCAGGCACGATCCACACTATTCTCGTCCCTTCCGTAGAACACTAACTTCTTCTCGGCCTTTTTAGGTTGACATGAACTTTTGTAACCCACTTGAGGGTCCACAAACTTTCAAGCTTCAAGTCAAGGAAACCCAATTGCACTTCCTAACAAGCTACACAACAACCGAATCGGAAGTGTTCTTCTCGGCGAAAAGGGCGTAGAATACCTACCGAGATAACAATGCCCACCGAAAGGCGCGATACTACCGCCCATTCCCCAACTGGCAATGCTCAGCCACCTGTTAATAGACGGAGAACCAGTATGTTTATGATATTCCGTTCAGGATATTACTGATTATCTTTTGTTTCCACTTTCCACTGACACATAACAATAGATGGAAGAGCTTGTATAACTTGCCACCAACGCAAAGTCCGCTGTGATATCCTTGAGAAGGGCACCCCCTGCTCTCACTGCCAGATCCAAAACAAGCCCAATTGCACAATATACGAGAAGAAAAAGACAAGATCATCTCGTGTATCTAATTCTCGCCCCAGCCCCGTCCCCCTCCAGCCCCGTCATTCTTCTCAACAAACTCAACGTCATCACCGTCACCACCACCACCATCATCATCAACAACAACAACAACAACAACAACAACAACAACAACAACAACAACAACAACAACAACAACAACAACAACAACAACAACAGCAGCAGCAGCAACCGCAATGCCTCACAGCTCCTGCAACACCCAGAGCAACAACAACCCTCTGGCCAGAAGCGACCATAGATCCAATTGCGCGGCCAAGTTCCAGCACTGGGCATTATCAACATGACTCTCCCTCAACGATGCAAGACTCTGCCGAGAACGAGGAAACTTACGAGACTCGCAATCTAGCTGACTTTATTGGTCAAGACCTACCAAAAGCCGGCGAGATCTCACGTTCTGAACGCCTCTATTTTATCGGCACAGAGTTCTCAAATCTTAACTATCTCGTGCGTCACCGAGCTCTACGAAGGGATCAAAAGGACGTGTTGCACTTTGGGACGCGTAGACTTGCGAGAAAGGTTCCTTCAGTCCCAGAAGAAGCTCTAAAGTTACCGCCTAAAGCTTTGGCTGATGAGCTTGTCACAGCATATTTCGTCCACGTCAATCGAGGGTTTCCAATTGTCGATGAGGATGAATTCATGACGAGCTACAATGGCCCCGACGTTCCGAAACTGGTGTCCTTGCCATTGTTGAACGCCATATTCCTCGTCGGCGCCCATGTACTCTCCTCGACCCGAGAAGACTGCAGGGCTAGCACATATACCTTCTTCCGTAGAGCCAAGATGCTCTTTGACTACCGCTTCGAACAGCACCGCGAGACGTACCTTCAAGTTGCTCTCCTATTGACATGGCAGTGTGACAACCTCGAAGATATCGTTGATAACTCATGGCATTGGATCGGGATCGGGGCCCGCACTGCCTTTGGAATGGGCATGCATCGGGACGCCCGTTCCAGTACCCTAAACACCATAGACAAACGCCAATGGGTTCGGCTCTGGTGGTGTCTATTTCAGTTTGACGTCATGGTCTCGGCTTCGTTTGGTCGACCGCAAGCAATGTGAGTGCGAAAACTCTCATACACATCCCCGTCTAACATGTTAAAGAAACCTCGAAGAGTCGGACACCCCGATGCTTGACGAAAGTCATTTTCAGGGCATCCTTCATGGCAACCCAACTTTCGCCATCGAGCACACAAAACTGTGCATTATCTTTTCCAAGGCTATGAGACGACGTGTAGCCTTACGAGCCACAGAAGCCGATCGAGCAGCGGCAACCAAAGAAGCTGATGAAGAACTTGCTGAGTTTATAACTCAACTGCCGCAAAGCCTCCAACTCTCGCATTCCAACCCAGACACCTGGCAAGCAACTCTTCACCTCTCGTACCATAACTTTCTCATCCTTCTCCACCGAACTCTGCCTCATCAAGATCCGAGCCGGTTTTCACCTCACTCTGCCACAGATCTCAGCATCTGTAGCGATGCTGTCGTAGCGATAACCTCTATCTTCGAATCCCTCCGCACAAGGAATACGTTATGCAATTTATGGTTACCTTCCGTCCACGTTCTTTTCACCAGCCTGCTGCACGTTGCCAGCGAGCTCAACTCCTCCAATCCTCTGGTCGCTGTAAAGTCATCCCGTATGTTTGACTCTCTTATCCACACTCTCCGAGATATATCACAGTATTGGATATATGCCAAGAGTCTTCTGCGACTCTTTGAGGAGCGGGCTATGTGGAAAAAGAGACAGAAATGGCATACACTAGGGTCATCTGAAGAGCGAACCTCTCAGGAGAGTCAAGAGAGTGCTCGTGCTGGCGCTTCCGAGTTTTCTCTACGGCCTAATCCTCTTGATGTCCCCAGTGTCATGGGCGATGCTCCAACAACTCTTCAGCCACCTTCTGCCCCAGTACCTGGACCAGCATACGGCTTCAATTTCGACTTCGATGTCCAACAGGGGCTTCCATATGGTGAAGGCTTTTCGAACGGCCTTGATCTAGCCGGAGATGGGAGCGAGGCCATGAACCTGCTCCCTGTACCTTCGGTATTGGAGTTTCTACTGGCTGGCGTTGACAATCAGTATGACTTCTAATCGGACGGTTATCAACCAAACAATTGTGTCGCTTTGTTGCAGTATGAACACTCTTAACACAGCAGGGGGTGGAAACTGAGACACGACCTATCGTCCATCACTTCGAATATGTCATCTTATAAAGCTATTTAAAATCAACATTTAAATCATGATACCCAATCATCCATTCACCAAAGACATGCTTTGTACACTAACAGTCCTCACGTGCTGCCAATTTGTTCATCCTGAACTTTGTATCCCGGCTAGTTGTGAATGCCATATACTGTCTCGACTGCACGCCTGATCTTGGTCGTCCAGCCTCTCTCACTACGAGTGACACTCATACCCACGGACTAACGCCACATAGACTCCGATGAAACTCTTCCAGAGGATCCATGACGGCTCTAGAATTGCAGAATCGGCCGAGCAAACAGGGGTCGTCAGTGAGACGCGGAAATTCTGAGCAATCATCTTTCACCGTTTTGTCCCTCGGGATATAGTCTTGGTAATGCCTAACTGCAATCGATTCTTCGAGTCAATTTCCGCACATAAGTCGATTCATCAATATCTATTAATTACCATATTGAACATGCAGTATACTGTCGACATGGCGGTCTGCACGTTTCTTCTCTACGCAGAGTCACGAGGGCCTAGGCTTTATGCCAGCCAAGCAAGGCCTGTCGCCTCCATTAGCCTTTCAGACGCGACTATAGAGAATATTTTTGGCTTCGAAGTACTTCATCATTGAATAATATATCTCATCTCATGTGACAGCTTGTGTGCAATCATAGCCTCGCAGCCATACTCAACACCAACACCACGTCCATCATCCCATGCCGTATACCATATACCCAACCCATACCATATACTCAACCCAAGACAACCAAGTTAACCCTTTCCCACGCCCCCACCGCCCTCTTTGATTTTGATACATTGCTTTCGTCACCGTCCCAACCTTGCCTTACGCCAACGCCAGTAGCCCAGTACGTTTCTCCGTTCCTTTGGAGATGCATTCTGACTCAAGATGCTTATTTGGTCCCCCGTTCCTCGGACTTCTCAGCAGACGCACCATCCATCCGTCCACACATAGATACTGTACACGTATATACTGCAATCATTAGAGCAACTTAGACTAACACGTCCCCCCAAAACAAAACTTATAGAACACACAATATTCAGCCAGAATCACCTCAACTGGTCCGACGCGCTGGGTTGCCTCTCCAGTTTTATGAGCACGCCATGGTAGTCCCATCTGACCACGCCTCTCTTTTCGCTCCTGGATGATGAGTGCTGTAATACCTCATCCAGTCATGTCTGCAGTAGACGGAGAATTCGTGCCTTTGTGCCTTCTGAAAAAGGGAAGATCCTTTATCCTGAATCTGCTTGTTTTCTTCCGTAGCGACTTGCCCTCAGCTCTGCCAATACTTCCACCTGTCGTGCTCGCATCGGATCTTGTTTCGTCATCGATAGGTGAACCATCCTGGCGAAGTGTTCCTGAGCTGTCTTTTAAACTTGCGGAGTCGACATTGATCTTGGGAATTCCAACGGCATGTTCAGTCGAATCTCCGCTCACGATACTCGTACCACGTGTGCTTGGTGACATCGGCATCTTGCCCGTTGTAGCGCTCGTCGCTTGTGAAGCCCAATCTCCCGAGCAAGCCCCAGAAACACTTCCATCTGTCGTCTCGCTTGATCGTTGCTTCGCTGAATCCCTTCTCGTTTGCGTCTGAAACGGATCACTGTTGGCCAATTCTCTGACCGCATCAAATGTTGAAGCTGATCCGTTAGATCCCCTGTGCTCCCCAGCTGCACCATTTGCAGCTGATGGCCCCATTGTCGTCTGACTATCGGCCGGCGATAGGTCATCCCTTTCCGGGCGTGGCATGGGTAGTTCGCCGTTCCCAACGGGGGTCGTATCCGATCCGCGATCCAATGCCTCAAACAAGGGTGTCATGTCTCTCTTCTCCTCCTTCTCCTCCTCCTGTGGTACAGCAAAGCTCATGGTCCTTGGAGAAAACGTACCCTCCTTCAGAAGACGTCTCCTGATTGTGTCATCTAGAGGTTGCTTTTCTTTCTCTTGTTGAAGCTTAAGCTCGAAGAGACTCTTATTCATCTCAAGCTCGTCGACAGTGTACTGCATAGCGGGCATGATGTCGGCGACGCCTTGAAATAGAGGGGTGGCAAAAAGATTCATAAACCCAAGTTGGCCTTTAGCCAGTGAAGTCATGTCTTGCTTGGGCGGTGTCATAAGTGATGAAGGGATGCTCAGCTCACTCTCCATTGAAGCTTGCCGAGAGAACTCTTCTGACAGAATGTAAGTCCACTTCAAAGCTATCTCATGGTTTCGTGCCTAGATTTGCGTTGTTAGCTGGTGACTCCACGATGTCATTAATGCCGGGGGAGGCATACCACGTTACTAATATCGGCACATTTGATGAGTAAAGAACAAGCGAGAGACTTGTTCTCTTCAATTTGCCGGCCGTTCCAGCCGTCGGCGCTATTATTAGCTTGAAGTCGTTCTTGAACATCTCCGAGCTTCTTCATGTAGTCGAAATGCAGACCCATATCCGTAGCCAAGATGGAGCTGATCATTAGGTTACGCATCTTCGTGTCCTCGAAGGCGGAGGGCCAGTAACGTCGAAGAATCTGCGAGTAAGCGGCGCAATGGAACGATTCCAAAACGGATCGATCATTGTACAACTGTGCTAGGGGAGCATTGAGTGTCACAAGAAAACCGTTGTTCACGCCTGGGTGTCCAACGTCATGCCCAATAGCAGTGATGAGGAGCGTCAACGCTTCAAAGGGAGTGATGAGAGAAGCCATGGGCGACTTCTCCGGCATGGGGCGGGATTCGGTACCCGAAGGATAGGGCGACAGAGCACCGATATGTACCAGGAAATTGAAGGTAGCTTGCAGTACATCCACAACATGACGGAAATTGTGGTAAGGCACAAAGCTATTGTATGCAGCACGGCAAGCAACAAGGAAGCTGATTAGTTGATCTGAAGCTGAGTCAGTATGCGGCCAACCGACACCAATCCAAAACAGTACAACGTACCTGCATGTATCCGCCATCGCTCAAGTTCGGGCATAGCCAAGGCATGTCTGAACATGTCCATTGCAGCCACCAACAACTCATCGTCAGTGAATGAGTGAGCGCAGAAGCGCCAACTTCCTATTGCCTCAGCAATGGCAGATTGCCGTTCCGAAGAAACAGCCACATGGGCATTGTTGATTTGGTCGTCACTTGTGCCTAAACGGCATATCCCTTTCATCAGACCGGACACCATGGCTTCACGAAGATATGCGAAGGGTTTCTCTTCGTTGACTCCCACCCACGATCGTTTTCGACCTTGCCTAATTTCCAGCAGGGTTGATTGTTCCTTGGCGGCATCTCTGTGAGCCCGATAGGCGCAGATTTCCAGACTTGTAATACATTTGGTGCTCATTGGACAAATGATGACATCGACTGCCCCCAGATCTAGGCACCTCCTTATGAGTTGACGATTTGTGTCAAGCGATCCCAATGGCAAAGGCTTCTGTTCAGCTGTGCCGTCGGTCATCTGTCCGTTGGTTGTGGGATGACCTGCCTCGGAATTGCTTATCACCGGAATCGGTACGACCAGTTTAGACATACCGCGCAAGTGCGCTTCGGTAATGATCTTTTGCAGCAATCCCAGGCCGTAGAGGGCTTCGTCGGGAGTGTGGATGTCGACATTTTCGTTGGAAGAACTGCATGAAGGAGAAGGCGACGATGCCCTTCTCCGCGCTTCAGGTACTGGGTCATCACTAGGCGTATCAAGGAGAACCAGGGTTGGCTTCAGATCGAGCATAGAGCCCTCCTGTAATTCAAATAATTTTGTTAAGCAGGCACCTCCAGATGCGCAAACGTGAACTGGACCATATGTTAGTAAGTGGAGAAATGACTCATGGCGACATCATAAACGAAAGAACGAACCATCTCCGAAGGCATCTAGTAGAGGTTGTACGACGTGGCGAGCCTCATCCGTTGCCCAATCAGATGTGCTGTCACCAGAAGTGCTGTGAATCAATCCATCTTCGCTGACATTGCGATTGACGTAAATAATGTGACAAGCGGCGCGGTCCATGGTGCTCATGGAGAGCTACCAGTCTCGCGACTGGAGCACCGTAGCCCTTCGGGCAGTTGAGTATTTGTGCCAAGATAAGGCGATTTACCAGAACCAAATAGCCTCACGAAATGCCGGAGACCAAATTATCCCAAAGACCGAGCCGAGCGAATTTCAAACGTTGGATAAGAGCAGGGTAGGAATGAATTTCGAGGGTCGTGATTGAATACGCAATTATCGCGAAGTAGCCCCAATACAATTGACTCAATAGCTACACGACATCCGGGATTGGTGGCGAGCAATGGGGGTTCGAATTGAGCAATAGGAGCCCGAAATGCTGATTCGTCTCGAGGAGTTCGCATGCGATGTTTGTCGAGTTGAGCTGATTCAATAAATCTAGTTCGGTGGTACAGACGATTGGTGTTTTCGGCTGGGAGGGCCGGACAGGCTGTCAGACTGGCGTCGCGACGGGCGGGAGCAGTCGGTGGGCGACAGAGTTCGTATAATTAGAAAATTCAGTCGAGGCTGAGAGACGAGGGGCGGATATTAGCTGGTAAGCAGGAGGAGGATGTCGCGAAAGACGTGGTAAATGCGGCGATACGAAAAGAAGACAAGAGGGATATGAAAAATGATGGCGCAGGAGGGAGAAGCGTGATGGATTGTAAATGGAGGGGACAAGAGGACTCGGAATCAGGACTCGGATTGGGCTAAGATGGAAAGAGCCACCAAGGAATAGGAAGGGCCAGGGGATGAAAAGAAGAAGGAAAAGAGGCAAGGCAGGATGTCGGATTGAGGGTTGGATTCACAGGTAGTGAGGAGGAAGGTACGGACGGACGAACTGCAGTACAGAACAGAACAACCAACACTACAAGCAGAACCAAAATAGAGAACGCGTGCGCTGGAATAATGGATGGTGTCAGGGCAATGAGTGAAGGTATCAGCCCAGGCTTTAGCTTACCTGTCTTGGTTCAAGGTACGAGCTGCCTACTGTATGTACAGCAGTACGAGACCTGCTTAGCGGCACGCAGAAGGTGTCTGACCCTGGTCGGAGAATGGAAGGACTAGGGAAGGATAAGGGAAGACCCAAAGACAGGGCAAGGGCACCGACAGTCGCGGTAACCGGGTCCGGGGGAGGAAGGAGAAGATCTGCGAGCGTGGCTGCAAGCGGAGGAGGAGCGATTGCAGTGTACAGTAGCGCAAGTGTGAGTGCAGGTCCGGCAGGGCAGCACAGCACAGACGGGATGATAGTGCGATGTAACAACCAGAGCAAATACTTTGGGTAGAAGTTGGAAAGGATGAGGCGATAGAGATATTCACTGCCAATTGCTGTCCTGGCAGAGGCGATCGAAGTGAGGGAAAGACCAGATGAAAGGCAGAAAAAGAATGAATGTCCGAATTGAAGCCTGGACTTGACTAGGTTGAATTGAACCGAAATGTGACGCAACAGAGTTCTAACCTCTCGAGCCCATCGGCTGGTGCCTTTTGGACTCACCTGTGGAGCGTGAGAAACAAAGACAAGGCAAGGCGAAGCCAAGAACCAGAAGACAACCTTGACAAGCAGAAACAGAGGCGGGAACCAAGCCTGGCGCCGGCAGTCGAATTACTCGAATAGATTGACAACCGCCTTAGTGGAACGATTTGCCGAGAAGAAGTACGAAAGACGTGGAGAAGAAGGGGTTCAAACGGCGAGTCAGAAGCGACCAGATCGAGGGCCAAGTTCAAGAGTTGAATTGGTTCAAGTGAGGCGGATTCAATCCAGAGGCGTCAAGGTAGGATCACTGTGTTCTGAGAGGAACTAGAGGGATAAGAGAATGTGAGTGTGAATGTGAATGTGAGGGGAGGAGGTCTCAGAGCCAGGGGGGCCAAGGAGTTAAAAAATGATCTTTTTACCCAAACATCACTTTTTAGTACCCTGGCCGTGAATCTTTTTAGGGGACTTTATAGGGCTGCTACGGGGTATATAGTGCTGCTCAAGGACAATAGAATTTGTTTATAAGGGTAGATAGTGAGAAAAAAGAAAAGAAAACCATATGCGAGCAAAGGAGTGTGGAAATGAGTGCTCTGTTTGAAACACGAATAGGGGAATCAACACTGTTCTTGCTTATGAAAAGCGCAGAAACTGAAACTCGTAATGATGGAGTAAGGTATAGTTAAGCTTGATGACGCAGCTCTCGCAATATGTAATAGATTTTGTTAGAGTGGAGGGAATATGCAGCACGATTTCGCCTCCGTTTATTATGAACACAAGCTAGACAAGTTGTGCCTTGAGAGAATGCTTCATTCAAGGATAACACGTAATATGGCCAAATCGGATGAATTGCTTCTAACGCAAGCGATCAAACATGCAGCAATAAAGAGTACCTTGCCTACTTGCGAAGGAGGCGTAGGAGGCATCAGAGTTTGCGGAAGTGCCGTCTGGGCTGGCGGAGAGGGCGCAGACTTAGGTGCGGGTTTTGAGGCCTTGATTTTAGTGATTTACAGTGGCGAGTGACTGGTCAGCAGAGGCGACACGACAGCATCGTCGAGTGTACCTAGGTCAGACATGACGCCCATTATAGGTCGTTGTAGGGTTACTGTGCTCTGCTGTGCCGCCTGCATCAGGGTTCGAAGTGGTCCATCGTGAGTGAGGTTGGAGGATGTTCTTGGATGTAGTCGGGGATCGTCGCTCCCTTACCTTACAGGCTTACAGGCTTACAGACAGGGGAGCCGGAGGTGCCTCAACGTGCTTGCAACGCGACGCGAGGCACCAAGGCCAGCTGGGCCAGAGCCTAGAGAGGCTAAAGGTTGATGGTAGAACCCACCTCGTGCTCCACACGCTTGGCCAGGATCAGGGCCCCCTTATCCTTATGATAGCCAATTACGTCGTGTCTGCAGCGTCAACCAACAGGGTTGATGACTGAGGGTCCAAGCGGCTTGCTTTGAATTCTTCTGGTCGTCTTCGAGAATCTAGAATGGGGTCGCCTGTCCAATAATCACTTGACAGGGGTGCATGGTGGGCTGCAGCGCAAAGGGGAACCACTTAAGAATCATTCTCGAAGGAAGTACAGTTTGGATACAGTGTATTCGACATAGCACATGTGCTATTGTTCTTGTCAACCCTGACACTTGGCGATTAGTTGAGGTGAGCTTCGTATGACGGTGGGTAACTAACGACAGAGGCGCCAGTGTGAAAGGGTAAGGCAGCTCATTATTTAGCTAAGTGAGATACAATGTCATGGATTTCCAACAATAGCCCAGCGATTCGTATGTCGTCATGCTGAGTCTGTCGTGTCCCATCCAATAAAAGCTCTTGGTTTGGTTCACCAAGCTGGAGAATGGAAGGAACTCTTGACGTGAGAACCACAAGATCCCCGCACGGTCAGGTTCCTAGGCTCCATGACCATAGGCAAACTCCACTACGATCTCAGCATACAAGAATGCCCAGTCCAGTAGGTATGATGGACTCGAAGTGCAGTTCCAGAAGGCAAGGGGAGAAGGTACTTACCCAGTCAGGTGGGTACTATGTAAGGTAGGTACTTAGGTCAGGTGGGTATGCACCGGGTGTGATTCCGTGCAGGTAAAGTGCAGGTGCTGTTCGCCCAGAACCCAATCCAACCCAACTCTACCTTACCTTACCTACCATTCGTGAATTCAGTGGCTGACTATCTACATCTTTTGCGGTTCTGGATCGAATTGGGTACAATCAATGGATAGATTCTACTAGGGTCACCTACATTCACAGCATCAACCAGTCAACTTCACATTCGAGTCGACTTACTGTCACTTTTGGTTGACATTATCAATTATATTTGGCCATTCAAACGAACGAACCAATATGACGTGATTTGACGGACCAGATCTGAGATCCAGATCTCGTCACCAAAGCCTCTTAACTTTCCGAGACCCTATCGACTCTCATCAGCAACGCCAACCTCCGCCTTCATTCTTCACAACTCTTCTTGTCCTGCTCGTTCATTCCCATCTCCATTGCCCCCATTCCATCACCTGTCGCTTTCGCCATAAGCCACAGGCTCGCTGCCCCGCACCACACCGGCTCCAAACTCTCCCCGCCTTTAAGTGAAGCTACTGAGAGACGAGGTACGCAACAACTACGCTTTAGGTATAGGATGGCTGTCAACAGTTACCCAAGCCATCGCGGTGCCATACGCAGAATGGAGCCATCTTCGGTTTGTTCCTGGACTCAGGAGAACGTCCAACAACGCCTAGCGACACCCAAATTCTCCGGTCCGCTTCAATGGATGATATGAAACCATATATTGATGCCGCAAAAATTCCCTTCATCTACGCACACATACTTGAGCAGAGGGTTTCCTCAATTGTCTCGAAAGAAGCAAAGTCCTTCAGGGCACTGGTATACTGGGCTGGCCATTTATCGCTCCAGCTGGCTGCCAGGTAACCTGCAGTCCGTCTAGGGAATGACGGAGTGCTCGGCCTCCATTTCCTTTGTACGATACCCATGCTGTCTATCAAGCCTTTTCATGCCGGCCATGGATCACAAGGGCAGCCACATGAACTCCTCATGCGATCTGGTTGCTGGCTAAGGTAGCTTTGGATCTGTCAAAGCCATCCCGCACATGACGCATCTCAAAGGCTCGATTTGATGCTATTACAAAGACTCCACTTCGAGCCTCAAAGATGAGGAAGAATCCCTTCTCCATAGTCCATCTCCACCCCAGAATCCCCGAACCGAGGCAAGAACACACGCCTGCTGGGCCCGCGGCCTGCTTCTTAGACTCTGAGGGCACCCCACAGAGTCACCGAGACGGCGAGAAGTGCCCTTGCTTTTGTGGGATCTTGCTCCTTCTTCGGCCATAGCCTGATTCAAGTATCGACTCTCGACACGTTTCTTACTTGTTCCTGGCTGCTCTTTAATGACGCCCTGGACCCGTTTTCGGCTCGATTTTTTTTCTCTCTCTTGAGCTGAAGAATGACTTGTGCTCTATTGTTTGTCCCTGGTATCGCGGTCACCCATGGAGTCTCAGTAAGCCCATGGTATCGGGTCTTTGGCGTCCTGTTCAGACTGACAACATAAACAATCTTGCGTTGTGTGTGAGGGGTCACTTATTTCTATTATCACAGAGGAGTCGGTCACGTACCGGATATGTTGGATGTTGCCATTCTGCGATACCCAAACTTTCAGTTCTCAACCTTGTTGGTGGGCTCATCATCACCTATCATATGTCTATATTCTATCAGGTCTTCATATCGGCGCATGATGAGCTCTTCCCCGACATTATTTGATCACTGGTGCTTCGATATGTCTAAATTCATCTTCTAGAGGCTCAAATCTTTAACATGGTGGCTAGCTAAAGCGTGGGACTCCTCAAGCCTGTCAAGCTGAACCCTGTGAACCGAATAGCCAAAATGCAACCATGAGGTGATTCCGATATGTCGATCGCGAATCAATTACCTACTCCCATTTCGTCAATTGTCTCAGCCATCAAGCCATTCGTTAATTGTCAATCCCCCAGGCGGCATAGTGATAACATGTCAAACGCCCTCAATCTAGCGGCCGCTCTGCTGGCTGTCAAATTCAGCCCGCTCAAGTGGATGGAGCGTGGAGTGAGGAATGGTATCGACCATTTCCCAGTTGGTGGGTTGAGTGGTTATGGAGGACTTGCCCCGAACTTGGAGAGTAGGATTTGTCCCATACGCCGCATCACTGCCGCGACATAACTGCATCTAATCAGTTGTTTAAGTGAGCGCCAAGGCGTGTCGTCAACTGCTTATCTGATATCTCGAATATGTACTCCGTACGGTGTTTCCTACCCCAGAAGATAGATAAGATAGTCTTCAACTGCGATGCTTTCCCACCGAACTTGATCTCCTGAAACGCGGGGTTTAACGTCTCGCAATTTCTTCCTGGTGCTCAGTTCAAACACTACAAGCGTACTGAGGTGGATGCTCAGGACCAGGGTCTCCGAGCTGGGGAAACCATGTTGATGCCATCCTGCCCACAGCGTGGATATACAACGATCCGGCCTTGAATGACAAGCTACAGATTACGTATTGAAGATCGCATGATGCTCTCGCAGTCGACAGATAATTAGTGATTTTACCGTGCTTGAAAGATGTTATCATTTGAGTCTTGTAAATCTCGGCTCTACGGCACCGGAGCTTCGGGAACTTGTAAACGATACAAACGTTTAACGACACTGAAATATTTGAGGGTATCTTATACCTTGAAATGTGAAACAGGCATGAGCACATCCTTACTTGCGCCCTTCGTCCGGGAAAGTCCTAAAGTTGGCGAGGGTAGTGACGCATATCAAATCGTGTATCGCCAGTCATGAGAGTCTGAGGAAGAATGTCTATCATTTATGACTACTGCTTGAACTACATGTATAGATGAGACATCCTCTGCTTTGACTTCGTCAAGTCCATTCAACTGAACATGCTTGATGCAAAACAAAACCCAACGCCGTGTTTTACCCTTCAACCTCATGCGAGATGCGTGGCGATATGTACCATCTATTTCTCTCGCCGCCTCTTTCTATCTACTTCTCCCCCATCAACGTCAACATGCCATTCACATGTTTGTTCGGCCCGGGTCATCATCTCATGCACATTTAGCCGTTTTCTCGTATCTCGTCTACCATATGTCATCATGACTTTGGGCCGCTTGTTGTTCAACGTTGGACAGCCGTCCTACTCGGCCTTGGTTCCCTTCTCGTTTTCAAGATGGATCTCGGCCACCTCGTTCGAATCTCTGTCGCTCCCTGCCGCGGTTTGCACATCGATCACATCTTTGCGGCCCCATGTAGACTTCTGGGTGTCTGTAAGAAGCGTCTTTTGAGGAGCGACAGGCTCAGATTCGCCCTCAACAGGATCCTGTCCTGTCATGATTGTGTCGTGGTCATCAAACTGGCTGAGGCCACGCTCATCAGCTGAAGAGTCCAACTGGACATCATCAGAGCCAATGTCGGCACCCGTAGAGTCTTCGGCACCGCTATCGCCCAGGCCCTCAAAGTTCCAACCCTGGACGAGGTTGAGTGACTTGTTATCCAGGCATTGGTAGCTTCCATTGACATCTACACCCTCGTCCTCGACGCTACTCTGGATGCTCTCTATTCCGTTAGGTCCACCGTACGGAGGAGGATCTTCGTCTTCGTCGTCTGGTCCAGCTAAAGAGGTGACGGTGACTCTATCCGAACCACGACCGCCGAGATGGCGAGTTGCTGCGGCTCCGATCCCAGCGCTCGACAACCCATTCAGGGAGGAACCCTCGCCGAGACGCTGACCTTCCCCCGCCCCGCCTTCTTCTTCTTCAGAATTTTCTTCGCTGTTCTTGTATTTCTCAGAGATGACTCCGAACCGCGATCCGCCTAAAGGGGTACTCGAGCGGCGACGGTAAAACAATAGGTATGCGGCCGATGTAATGCATGTTGAAGGGTCAGACACAGGGCTTGCAGACGAATCTATCGGCTTGTCAGCGTCGTGGATTGACGGGAGGGGGGCCAGAGAGATGGAGCAACTCACCATTATAGTTATACCATCGCCCATCGACAAAGTTCTTGGCGTAGGCAGTGTAATGACCTCCACCAAGACCACCGTAATGATCATCAACAGCAATCAAATCATAAATCTCATCTTTACCATCCTCTTTTTGAATGACTCTAGAAGTAAGGTCCAGACCCTCAATGGGGAAGTCAACCATAACGTCCAACTTGTCGCGGCGCCATCCAGAGTTGCTAAAGCGCTTCAGATGCGCGACAAGAATATCTGGCGATTTCCACAGATCAAACTTCTTGCTGGCTCGCCGATGCTCTTTGCAGCGGGGGCAATACCACATATCTTGCTCGGAGAGCACTTCAGCTCTCTCGAACTCATCCAAACATTCTTCAAGACTGATGCCTCGTGTACGACGATGATGTCTTCTTCTCTGAGCAACCTTGAGGGCAGGGTCCGTGAGCGTTTCCAGATCAATAAACGTTGGAGCTCCTTGTTCATCGGAGGGGGTCTTTGCAGAGCCACCAAACACCTTTTCCCAAGCATCCTCGTTCCAGTCTACGACAATGCCTTCGCCCAGACGAATCAGAGGTCCACCATCAGCAACAGCAGGAGGTTGAGGCTGGGGCTTGACAGAGGCCGCCTTGTGCTTCTTGTTCTGCATACGTTCTCGGCGCTTGTTGGCTTTCTTGTTGAATTTCTGGCCCTTGAGCTTGCGTCCTTTTACTTTTGAGGGACGTCCATTGAATTTCTGCTTTGCATAAGCGCTAGGAACGTTGAAAAGACTGATAGAATGACCTACTCGTGGAGCTTCTTGAACTTCTTCCTCACTGGACTCTTCCACCATTCTAGTTTGTGTCATCTCCGCCTTGATACTCTCGTCGTTGCTGCTTGCATCTTCATTAGAGGGCGTGCTGCTTTCATCGTCGCGACTGGCGGTATCGTCATCCTCGGGTGACGGCTGAAGGATGCGATCCGACAACTTAGGGAGTAATTGATGGTGGTCGACGTTAGACCAGCCTGTTGGCACATCACCAGAGTGAGCTTTATCTGTGAAGTAGCAAAGGTCGAAGAGGTTTTGCAGGTCAGGTTCGAGGAAGCTATCTGGGTCGATAAACTTGGGTCGGCTCTTGTTGAATCGCTTCAGAATCCGTGGTTGATGGGGGAGAGCATCACTGGTGTCCTTCATATGCACATCTACAATGTCATCCTCGCCTTCAACCGAGTTGGCAACAACCTTACTATCGCCAGACGAGTCGGCATCTGAAGCAGAAGCAACCACCTCTCCGTCAGCGTTATCAGAGTTCTCCTCTAAGTTGTTCCTGAGCTTGGACCAAGTTGAGAAGTTCGAGATTTTCTCCAGGATCTTGCGTCGAATGAGGTCAATGTCGGAAGCTTCCTCCTTAGTGAAGCAGATGAAGCTTGGGGGAGCCACGCCATCCCGAGCACGACCATAGTTCGATGGGATGCGGTGAAATACGGGTACCACTATCCGCTCATACCGCGGGTCATCCCACGAGGCTTCGAGAGGAGTGTCGATATCCAGCATGGAGCGTGGCTTGTTCGCTTTGTGCGGCCAGTTGGTAGGGACAGCATCTAACTCGTGGAAGGTTGCCAGATCATTTTTTGCGATCTCTTCACTAACATCTACGGGGTTATCGTAAATCTTGAAGAAACGATCCTTGTACTCTTCTCCTCCTATCAATCGCTCCACGGGTACACCTGTTCGGACGGAGAGGAACTGCTTGAGCTGTTCGATAGCGCTATGCTTAGGCAATTCAACCTCAATTATGACAGGCACATCGTTGAGGGGCAAGAACTTGACCTTGGCCGTCCATACGTCCTCGACAGGAATAGGAAGGGTCAGGTTATTGAAAGGGTCGAAAGTGATGCTGATCTTGCCACACTCAGGACATTTGAGTGTTGATTTATACAAACCTGTGAAGAGGTCGGCAATGACTGAGTCGTCCCGGAGGCGCGTTATGTCCCAGACCTTGTCTGCCATTTCCTTGATAGCTTCCGGATTGTTGATCATGTCGTCGGTAGAGTCAGGCTTCTCGATGTAAGGTTTCTTCTTCACACGACTCAGGTCTTCCTGAAGAGCATCCAAGAGAAATCCAAGGAATTCTTGCGAGTCCTGCTGCCCATATCCAGAGAAAGTCGACCGGCAACGGCCGATCGTATTCTTGAAGTCTCGAGGAGTCACAGAGCCCCTACCCTCCGTATATATCTCCTTCAGGAGATTTCCATACGTTATAGCAACTTTTCCATTGTATCCCAGGAGGTTAGTCTTATTGACCTCATCAAGATACTCATTGGTCAAGAAGTACTTGGTCAACTCCTCGACGCTTCGTACGCACTGAAGTGCAGAGTTCATATAACATGTGTTTCCTAGATTCTGCAGACCAACAACGCCGATGCTACGACCAGATTTCCTCCCCGTTCGCCCACGTGTCAATGGGCCACCGGGGGCGGGACTGCTTCGACCGCTCGCATTAGAAGAGGCCAGGCCACTTCTGGTGGGAATGGCCAATCCATTTGGAGGAGTTTTCCCTGTGTAGTTGCTAACCCAGAAGGAGTCGATGGCCTCATCGATGACCAGAGTTTGATCTGTCACGAGATCGAACATGGTCAAGTTCGAACTGCCATTGAATTTGGGGTCAATGGTCTTGTCTTCCAGCTTACATTTGACCCTTTGGTTACGGACTTGAGAAAATGAAACATTATCGAGGAGAAGTTTCGACCAAGTGTTTGCAGAGCCAGCTCCATTGTCAGTTCGCCCTGGGGAATCCGGAGGCGTGAGGGCTCGTGAGGGCTCTGAGGGGCTAGGAACCTGCTGAATTTGAGGTACCATGAACAAGCGAATTTTGCGGTCTAGCGGTACACCGGTGGCTGTCTTGATCTCCTGGACAAACGTCTGTGCATGGTATTTGCGACTTCTGACAAACTTGTAAGGAGGAGGGTTCTTGGCTTTGAGGGACTGCTCGATGGGAAGTGGGCTAATTTCAGACCACAGACGGTGAACAGTAAAAACTGGAGGGTGGAACTCGAACTGAATGACGGGCTCTTCGCCAGGTTCAGCGGTGTTGATAGCAGTACGAATAATGGCTTCTTGATCGTTCTTGACACCATACCAGTCGACAACCATCTTCCAAGCATCCTCGGGGAAGAGTGTGAATTCATTCTCGTTAGTTCCTTGCTTTAGACGAATGTATTCCTTGCCGGTAGGTTCTCTGACGACTCCCCCAATGATATCCGAGTTGTCGACAGGGCCGAGAAGGTCGGATGTGGGATCTCCCTCCTTGCTGTCCTTGGAGCCGCCACGCAATGAGAGTGCTTTTTGAACCCAGGTGTTGGAGACGAGATAGGCCTTGTCTCCTTCCTTCACTTGCGCCTCCTGATAGGCTTTCAAGAGAGTCTCTATGATCTTGATCTGTTCTTGCAGCGAAGGAATTGCTATGAGACCAGAATTAGCTACGGACTGCGGTGCTTGCAAATTGGAATTGTGGTGAGCCTTACGCTGCGCAGGATGAGCATCAGTAGCCGAATTTGCTGTAGGCTCGGGCGCTTCAACACTCATGTCACGAGGTAGCGATTCGGGGGGCAGCTGCGAGGCGCCCTCAATAGATTCATTGGCTTGTGATGTATCCATGTCGACATCGCGGGACCTATCCGCATCGTTTTCGGGATCCATACTGGAAGCACGTCGTTTCAAAGGCGATGAGGAGCGTTGAGGCAGGTCTGCATCGCCATTCATGATAGCTCGGTGTGAGAGACGCAAGGGAGACTGGCTTCTGGCCAAAGCCAAAGTTGGGGCCGGGCCAGTCTCGTCGCCGCCACGATCACTCTCAATGGAAAGATCGGCGTAGGCAGATGCACAAGGGCTCGAGGCAGCGGATGAGGCGTAATCGGCCGAGACGAGCGAGCTTGTCTGATGCTGGAGACGCGGGGGGAGGCTCGAGGCGGGTTGTGAGTCGGCCCGGAGGAACGAGTTCGAGTTGGAGGCCACGGAGGCGGAGAAGGAGAGAGCGGGATCGTCGTCGACTTCGCAGGAGGGTAGGACTGAGTCAGGAGAGGGCGACGACGAATCAATCGAGTCTAGAGGTAGGTCGTTTCGCAAGAGCTTTCTCTTCTTTGAGGACGACGTCTTGAAGGCGAGCTGCCCGGGCAGCTCGGGGGGTCTGGGTATGAGTAGGAGGGGCGGAGGCGGAGGCGGAGGCGGAAGACGAGGTCTCTGTTCCTATTCTTAAAGTGAAACGAGTTTCGAGAGCAAATAAGTAGTCGACGTGGACTGGAAGTATAAGTATAAGTCTGATGGTGGCCAAGGCACGAGTAAGGACAACAGTCTTGTTGCATTTACTCTGAATCAGGACAGGACCAAACCAATAGAGCCTGGCCGTGTAAGAGTTTGGATTCTTTTTTTTTCTTTCACAGAGGAGGGCGGGGGGTTTGAACAGGTTCTATATTTTTTTTTATGATGGATTACAGCAGCAGTGGCATCGGGGCTGTGACCGCTGAGATTGACCTACAGTGTGGGGCGGCTACCGACTCAAGTTTTACGATGGACATTTGGGTGCGCTGGAAGGTTTAAGTCAGAGCTGGTACATAGGTAATCAAGGTGATTAATGTACCTAAATAATTCATAGATATATCTACTTAGGCAGGTACCTATATAATCATACATGCATGCATACATACTTACTTAAACAATAAAGACTGAAGCTTGATACTGTAGTAGAAAGAGTAATACATCTGAGCTTCATCATAAAATATCGACCTGATAGTGGATTACTAGATCGCAAAATAACTCTTCTGAGTGGGTAGGATCTTTGCTTGCATTTATTTTAGGTTCTCTGGCTGATTCCATTCCCCCACACTCACAGCATGGATGTTTGCCAAGGTGTAGGTTGCCAGCGACCGCTAATCACCTAGGATTGACCGCTAGGGCTGGAGCATGTGCCTAAAATGTCCTTGTAATAAATACCTTAGGTAAGTACTATTCATCAACTTCACTTTCACGTCAACTCTCCAGAGGCATGTGCTGAAGGGTCGACTTCGATGAAATAAGCCTGCAATACTATCATAAGAGCTTTCCCAATTCAAGGGCTCTTACAAGGAGTCCAGGATGGGTGAGGCCAGAAATGTAAAACTGTCTAGCAACCCTCACGTCAGAGTTATGTATACTACTTCTTCTGTTTACCATGACCCTTGAGTGAGTGGCCTCGAGACTGCAAGAGCTTAAACACATGTTTAAAGCCTTATATCTCTTCACGTGGTCACTTGCCCTTCTGCTGGCAAGATCAACAGGTAGAAATCTGCACACATACAGCCGTGTGTTCCGCCTTGCATGAACTTACCCTAGATTTCCCTTTACAAGTCATTCACTTGCTTTTCCGACCTTTTCTGATCAGCTGTTTCATGACATGCGTAGCTCTACCCCCGACAGTCCACGCCTTCAACATTGTTCGTATGAGTGCTTGCATCTGGACGAGGACGACAGCTAGCGGTCAACACGACCCCTGCCTGTGCCCTAGCAGTCTTTTTGCCCAAGTGCGATGCACTGATTTGAAGCTGTTACTATAGAAGACAGTGCTGAAGTGTGAAAAATTGCTGTCCTTTATTTAATTGTGAACCCGGACTTTATATGCGTCTAATGTCAGCTTCCATGGCTGATTGGGAACTTGAAAACACCACAGACACTTCATCGCAATGGTCAACGGTACTATCACCAAGTCATATCTCATTTTTGTGTCTCAACGTAGGCCATCCCCGGGCGATCGACCGCCGTTAGAGTCATGTACAAAACCGACTCCAACGGGTTACTAAATACCAGTATGCCTTTACAAGCCCCTGATTCCTGCTGTCCAGTGTCTTCTCCCCTCTACCATTCAATGTCAGTGTATCGCGCCTATCTAAATGTCCCCCCCAACTTGGCTTTTCAAGAACATAAAGTCGTCAACCTAAAATAATCCAAGACCAAGCATAGCCTTTACAACTTTGCATCCGTATCTTCATACTCGTTAATGTCCTTGACGGGTCTGGCCCCTGAACTGGCAGTAAGACCGGCCTTGTAAAGCCTGACATCAGTGATCTCCTCGGCCGTCTTCACAGTATCCCCCGGTGAGGGCTCCTCATCGGCCTTCTTCTGAGCCTCTTCCTGTCGCTTATCGACCCCTTCAGCCTTGCCTTGAGCCTGCAGATGAATCGATAACCGTGCCCTCTGGCTGGAGGCAGGATTGAGGCGCTGGTTGAAGAATTCGGCAACCTCAGGTTTGGTCAGAAGCTTAATCTGTGCGGCATCGCGCTGGGCTGTCAAGAGGGTCAGTAGATGTCCACCAGGCAAAGAATGCCTTTTGTTAACTTACCAAGCTCGAAGTCGTAGTATTCGTTCGTGATTTGGTTCCAATGACGAGTGGACTCCTGGTCCAGGTTTCTGAGCTTTTCTAAACGCCGGACGATCAAACTTCGCTTGTGGCCCTCAAACTCAGTCTCGCTCATCTTCTCCAGAGTGTCCGCATATCTCATGAGGAAGGCCTCGATACGCGAGTCAAGGAATTCTGGTGTCATTTCACTCTGGATGAGGAAACGGAAACCATACGTCGTCGAGAAAGCTCGAGGTCCGCTGAACACGATGTAGCCGAGTTGCTCCTTAGTCCGGAGCTGATCAAAGGCTGGCTCATGGAGCATCTGGTCCAGAAGTAGAGTCTTGGTTCGAACGTCGCGATCTTCTCTGCTTCCAACATAAAACCACGTCTCGACGCAGTGATTGACGTTAGCAGGATCTTTGAGGGTCTTTCTGAAGACGTAGTTTGAACCTTTGGTCAGAATGAGTGACCGCAGGATAGGCCACTGGGCCTTGGGCAAAACCCGCGGCTTTAGAATGGACTCGACCATGTCGGTTGCTTTGAGAGCGTCCTCCTTGTACATGTTACCGTGTACGTACACTTCGATGAAAACCTGGCCAAGCATTTGCTTCTGGAACAGCCTGACACCTTCTAATGTGACGCTTGAAAGCTCCGCTGCGAGCTCCTCTACTATGAAGTCCCGTTCGGGGGCATTGAGCCAATTGGTGTAATCGCCAACCTGGTGGTAGGATGATTGTAGCTGCCAGTTGCTGTATCCTCGGATCAAGCGTTCCCTGACGATCTCAAAACGATCTTCCTTGATATCCAAGTCTCGCATTGTTGTGACGACTTGTTCCAAGAGCACGGGCAGCTTATCATTATAGCCGCTAACGTCCAAGAACAGACCGCGCGAATCGAGACTGACGTTGTACTGCAAGCCAGCCAGCTCCGCGTCATACGAGTACTCCTCGAGCGCATCACGAACGAGGTCTGAGAATAGTCGAGCCTTGACGTTGTTTTCTGCCGAAGCGTATATAAGTGGTGTCTTCAAGCTGACAATAACGTTGGCGCGAGGAACCCAGAAGGTATCATCCTTCTTCCACCATGTTCTGGCAATGCTATCATTGCGGAGAACCCGGGGGTTCAATGCCGGCTCGCCCACCTCCTTCTTCTCGACCTCAAGCTTGTTGGGAATGAACTGGTTCTTGTGAGGCAGGTGAAGGGCAGGCAGTCGATCCTTGGGAGAGACTGCAAAGGCTTTCTTGCACTCCTCCATAAGATCTCTGGGAATCTTTTCATGCCGATATTCAGTTCCATACCATTTTTCCTTCTGGTCCCAGTTGCCAGGATAGTTGCGTGATACAATGACCATGCGGAAGTTATCCGGGCGAATCGTGGCAAGGGCTTTCTCGATTTCATCAGGAGCAAATTCTCGGAGACGGCTGTGTCCACTGAGCAACCATTCCCGAGGAAGAGGCTTTTGCATGACCGAGCTGATTCGGCTGGTAAAGCGACTGGCAGGCGTCTTTTGCTTAAACTTGAAATCGACATCTGCCATTCCTTTCTGCTCTTGAAATATCCACTCCTGGGGTGGGCTCTCACGCAGGAGAGTGATGTACTGGAAAAAGATCTTGACAATTTCAGGGTAGTTCTTAAGACCCTCTTCCGTCAAGCGAACCTGTACATCGAAGATACCAGGAGTACCAGGGCAAACGGGGTAAGCACCGGCGCTAAGACCGTTTGCCCAACCTTTGGACTTGATGTATGACATGATACTTCCAGGGCCCTCATGTCCAATGAGATGACTAATATATCGGCTAGGTTGGGTAGCAAACATAAACTCCTCATCGATAAAGGGGAAGTACAGGTTAAGCTCTCGAGAGTCCATGACGGGCTTCGCGAAACACTGCATACCGAGATCGGTTTCCCTGAAAGGAAGTTCGCCTGGCCATCTGTTCGGTGGAAGCTTCTTGTTGACGACAGGAGAGAACAACTCAGCAACCCATTTCTGGAGCACATCAAGCGGTTCTCTACCCAGAACAACCAGCTTCATGCGGTTTGCTGAATAGTGTCTGCCATGGAATTCAATAAACTTGTCCCTCACATTAATTCCACGTGCCTCGGGAAGTGTCTTAAGAACCTCAAAATTGCCGGTTGAGAAGTGACAGAACGGGTGGTTAGGGTTGGACAGAGACTTTTCTAGCTGATGCAGCCTCCAGGTGTCATTCTGAAGATTCTTTTTATTTTCTGAATCGACAGCTTTTAGCTCTCGGTCTAGTGTCTCGGGTAGAAAGAGCGGCTCAATGAAGAACTGAGCGAATCGATCCAGGGCCTCGCGCAGAGGAGAAGGGTTGGTATCTGAAGGATCCTGGTCATTGTCTGGCTTGGCAGAAATATCGAAAAAGTAGTTCGTCGATGTTGGCCCTGTGTAAGCATTTGAGCTTCCTGAATTGGCGGAGAGGTATTGGCCGTATTCGTTCTCAATTGGGAATTTCTTGGTGCCCATGAAAAGAAGCTGTTGACAAGTAGAAATATTAGTCCACTGTCTGTTTGTATGACATCACAAATGTTGAATTGGGGCACTTACATGTTCAACCGCATGGGCCATACCGGGAATATCAGATTCGTCGCTGAAATTTCCCACATTGACATCAAGGGCAGCGCTGGCCTTGTCAGTCTCGGGATCATGCACCAGGAGAGCCTCGAGCTCATTGTCCAGACGAATGACTCGATAATCGCGATCGTCGAGTGAAGGCTTCTCGAGAGAGTCGGTAACAAGCGTCACCGGTATGGGAGCACCACCCGTCGCTGCGGAGGTATCTTCTTCATGCTGGGAGTGAGGCATTGTGTATGTTGCAGATGCAGATGCAAATGCAGACGCAAAACCAAAATTCTACACCGGTATTGTCACCGACACCGACACCGTCACCGACACACACGGCACAAATGGTATCCGGAAACCGGAGGAAGAAAACGGCCGTGAACTGTGGTAGGCTGGTCGCCGATCGCAAGGGTTCGTACGAGCTGCGTGCTCAGGTACGAGAGTCGATTGGACAAAGTCGGCGCGTACAGGACGATAGATGCAAGACAATCGAACGAATGTGATCCAATTGATGTCGAGAACCAAGAAAATAATGCAGTGCGATAAGTAAGGTATGACAATGGCAAAGCAGAAGTAACCTGGAAGTAAGGTACAGAACGGATACCGTCCCGCAGGTAAGGTTCCTACTATAAGACTGTCGGGTCCCTGGAGGCTAGGTAGTGGAGGTTCCTTACATGCAGTTGGAGGGCAGGGCAGGGCAGGGCCGCGGGGGAGTAAGGTACCTTACCGGGCCACTTGCTGAGGGGGGCGAGGGGTACGGTGCCAGCAAATGGATGGATACAGGGACTAGATCTGAAAGATGATGAAGCAGATGGGGAAGCTAGGTAGGTACCTAGGCTTAGGAAAGGTAAGGTAAGCTGGGCTGCAGACAGTATCAGGTTAGTTACCTCTATGTCATGAAAAAGGTACCTGTGCTGGTTGTAAACATCGCCTTGGGAGGGCTCTGCAAGGACATGGAGGCTACCTTAGCTTAGTTTCCTCACTTTCTAACTGACTAGGGTTAGAATATCGCTGGCGCAAACGGGGGATATTCCTGAGTCAGACCAGTCAGGCTGTTGAATTCAGTTGAACTTTTGAATTGTGTCCTTCTATGACCGGACCACTTTAAAGGCGATGGTTGAGCTTGTGGGGTGCGCCACTCGATACTGAGCACGCGCACAGCAGAATAAAGAAGCCAAGGGTCTGTGCAGAACCAGCGATCTACTGATGCTTGTGGAGTAGTGTTACCAGTAAGGTGGGTGAGCCTCCGTTGAGGTGGCTGTGGACAAGCAGACAAGAGAGGAGAAGGATACCGAGGTTTACCGATCCGGTGATGATGAAAGAGTTTCTCGGCGTGTACGGACCCTATCTCGAAATCGGATCAGTTTTCGAATGACCAATCCCGAATCCTGTTTGGAATCAAGGGTCTTGGCTGGTCCCTGATATCGAGGACAAAAAGACCTAGTAGGACAACAACCTTGTTGGGTGATGACTTAGGAGCTCTGGAGGGTGACAAGGAAGATGGATATTGAGACCCGAACTTTATGGACCTGGACTGCTTCGAGAAATACAGCAGTTCTCAGTTGCCGTGTGGGTGCTAGATTTGAACAGATGCTAAAGGGATAGCCGGGGAGAGGATGCTAGGTAGGTAGTCAAGTCCTTCCAGACTTTTATTATTCGTTTTTCGTCCTTGCTGATGTGATGTGTTCAAAATGAGGTGGCTAAACAACTAAGCAACAATTCGTCAGTAAGATGATGTCTCTTCATCACGTACATGGTAAGCTTGGCCAGACAACAAAAGCCTCTGCCTATTAATAAACATCGTGGAATGCTGAGGCGGAGATGTGCGTGTATGGAGGAGCAAAAGGAGGTGGCATGAAGAAAACGAATGTGAGACGATGGTGTCAAAACGGGAATAGATGTTGTTCGTTTCTCTTTCGTTGTGAGAGCTGAACATGGCTGTTACATGTGCTTACATGTGAATCAACACCAATTGTAGAACAATACCTACCTAAGAATGTACTTCTAGGCTACTTATTCATGGCCAGTTTCTTGTAACGCCCCTCCTGAGAGTTCTTATGCTAACACAGAATCTCAGCGATTTGCGAACAAGCCTTGAGATATATAAGACTGCTTTCTTTCTTCTCCCAACTGCTCAATAAGTCGAATGTCTCTTCTGTGGTGTTATAAAAAATTGCGGATGGTGACCGTTGATTAACAGAATTATTAAAACCCTGGGAAACCGAACCCTGGTCGCGGTAGATCTTTTGGCGTCCGACCAATCGAATGAACTACCTAGGGTCCCTGTAAGGACCCTGACTGAAGCAAGATAGAAGCGAATAAAAGAGAGGAAGTTATGAACAAAGAAGGGGGAAGGAAAATTCACCCTGAGTGCATAGACTACTACATGTATGTATCTGCCAGGCGTCAAACAAAGTACCAACGTTGCCGCTATAATTAATGTTCCTTGGCTTCCGAATTCGTATGCTGCCTGCATATGTTGCTTTTGATGAGTGACGTGACGTGGGCACCTTGTTGGTCAAATATTTGCCCAATTTCGACTTCTGTTCAATGGTGTGCCGTCCAATAGGTCGGTAATTGAAGTATGGTGTTGGATGGACCCAAATGCCGGGATGAGATTTCTGTGATATGTAACCGGATCTAAATGTTGTGTAAATTGGAAGAGATGAGATTGTACGGGTGAGATGAAGAATATTTATACTCCTTCTCGGTATCTCAATCACTTATCACCTCTCACGGAACTATAATCACAGCGTTACACATATTGATCACTGTTCTAGTCTAGCAGTTTACCTAAAATCACAGAAATTCTGAACCTCAATTCAAAGTTGCAAGTGCAACAGTGTTATTGGTCGTCTGTATACGTGATGCTACTGCCTTAATTTGACTTTTAATACCAGTTAACGGCTAACTAAAGTCGGTGGACAGTTTGAGTAGTATGGATATAAATCCACTATATATACACACATATCCATTCATGGACCATAGTAATTCACTGATTGTATACTAGTAAGAATGGCTGCATCTCATTACAATATCAGGACTACATACCTAGGTGGGCACATGGTACAAGCTCAATGCAACTCGCCCTGTATCCCTTGTGCCCAACAATAAGCATTTGATCACAGAAATCGGCAAATGATTACGGCTTTCCTGTCCTTGTTCAGGAGGTGCACTTTCGTATCCATGAAGCTGCTGTCTAACAGTAGTTGTTAAAGGGTTTTGCTCAGCAATAGGGAGAACTGCTGTGCACTATGCAATCCAATACTGGTATCTTCGTTTTCCCGCTTCCTTCACTTCTTAACCTTGTTGACCCGTCCCTAATTCGCTTGGCTCCAGGATATAATAATGTGGGAATAGGCAAATAGGTAGCATCCTCCTGCATACACCAAGAGCTCCAGATTTGGGTTGGAGACGATGTGGAATGTCAAATCCGCAGATGACCTCAAGTAAAAACATCCCCATGAACGTGATATGGTCTAATCGTACATGTGCGCCATTTGGCCCCCCTTGGGACAGTCGACAGCTTTGTGACCGGTCTGGTGGCACCTGTAGCAGGTCATGGCTTTTCCAGCAGGTGAGAACTGGCTCCCACCCCCTGAGGAAATACCACCACCAGAGGATATCGAAGTTGGCTTGCTTAGCTTCACCTCCTTTTTCTTCCTCTTATCCCGGAATTCTTTGGCCTTGGCGCTCTCTGCAGTTGGCCGTGACCGGGAACGGGAGCGTAAACGGCTTGGGCTATCACTGGATGGCTTCCGCTTTCGTCCATGCGCTGGTGTATCTGCGTCGTCTGAGTCCTCATCTTCACTATCGTCGTCGTCGTCTGACGTCTTCTGGGTTTCTTGTTTCTGTCATGGCCAGTCAGCAGTCTTGGTCCTATCTATCACAGCATAGTGATCAACATGCCTGGTTCGCCGCCTTCTTGAAGCTATTTGTTGAAGTGCGCCCATTTCTCGGCACGTCCTCGTTATCGCCTGAGCCATTAGATGAATCCATATCACCATATCCAACATACACGACATTGAGAGGTGCTTTGGTCTGGCTTGTAGCTTTTAACCCAGCAAATGGGTTGTCAAGAACCCAATGTGTGTCGGCCCCAACATGCTTCTCCAGGGCCTCTTGTCGTTTTGTTTCTTGTGCATCCAGAGCAGCCTTGATTGCAGCCTGGCCAATGTTCAGGTCAAGGCGACCCGCCGCCGGGGAGTGTCCAGTCTTTCTTTTCTTGGATGAATGTGTTTCTGAATCGGGGGACGAATTTTCTGAGGCCACTGCCCGTTGCATAAACTTCATAGTAAGAAGTCTCGAAGAGACTGCTCGTGGTGTTTCGGGTGCCATGATGAATGTTTTCGTGCCAATGAATATTATCTTTGCGAAGACGTTTCGTAGGTGATGTAGTATAAGTCGAGTGGGAAAAACTCCAGTGGCGCAAACACGTGGAGAGGCTATAGCTACAGGAAAGAAAACGGCCCTGTATATTAAGTTAATTCATGAAAATCGATTTACAAACTTTTGTCGTGATTCGATTACAAGAGGGCAAAAAACCGTGTTTATCGCAAACCTCGATGCTCCTACTCAGGCGCATTGCCTCCGTTTAGAAGAACGAACAAAAATATTTCGGTTACGGATAAACCAGGGATCCGGGCCTGCAATCATCAACAGGCAAGTTCAATGCCTCACAACCACCAGAAGATCATTCAGCGCCGATACTGTCGAAACGATCCGCACACCGGGAAACCGACGAATTTACAATGGCCACGTCTCAATTGAGAGCAATTGGCGTCTTTGCGCGCAGTGCGCGCCTCTCCCAGCGCGCCTTCACCACCTCCGCTCGGCAATTCGAGGCTGCTGTCTCTACCAAAACTAACGAGACTGCCCCCGCCCCCGTGAACGAGAACAAGCCTGCCGAGATCAACCAAGCTCCCAACCGCGTCGATGTCTGGTCTCGTAGCCAGAGACCCCGTTCTCAGGCCATGACCGGCCCCCGTTTCGAGCAGACCGACTTCGATCTCCAGGTACAACCGAGACGAGGGAGCTAGGATTGAATATCAAATTAGCTAACTGCGTGATAGCCTCAGCCCAAGGCCGCTATTGAGATGATTCACAAGCAACCCGTTACATGGACGCACGAGCGCATTGTTGCTTGCAATGGTGGTGGTGGTCCTGAGGGTCATCCTAGAGTCTTCATCAACACCGACAAGCCCGAGATTGCTGTTTGTGGCTACTGCGGCCTACCTTTCGTACGAAACACCCCTGGCGATTTATGCTTTACCAATGCTCATACTATATATTAGGCCCACGAACACCACCGCACCCATCTCGAATCCCTCCCCGAGACTTCTTACCCTTTGTCATAATCAGCATCGAACGATGGGATCTGAAAGGGAGGGATGCTATCTGGATTACTACCTAGACATGTGCTAGAGGGAAAAGGGATCCGTGTACTGTGATGTTTCTGAATGGAGAACCCAAACTTCTGTATATACTCCGCGAATACAATGAAAGAACAAACCGGCAGCTTTCCTTGTACGATTCCTATGTCTATTTCGTCCTGATGAGCATGTCAAAATCGACATTGATTCGGCATGTTATTACGAACTGTCACAACTATCCGCTGTACCGTTTGGATACTGAAGTGTGCTACTGTTTATCGCATTAAAATGAATGTGATGATTGCCTACCTCGGGCTGTAGAGTATAAGGGAACTACCGACCTAGGTACCTAGAAGGGATTATAAATGGTGCGCTACGATTGGCTAACCTCAGCCTTGATATAAACGGATAGAAAGACGACCCATATAGAGTCCAACTCTGGCCCCACTATGACGGCTGTTTGCTTTCAAGCACGATTCATTATAAGCTATGCCTCAACTTCAAACATCACGACTTAACTCTGCAACGACACCAGTGCTTCTCTGCTTACTGCTTGTAATTTCTCTATTCCCTGGTCTGTTTCACTATCTCTGGACACTGCCCTTTAGCCTTCTTGGATTATCAGGATCCCCTCAACCCCGCTCAACTGCTCCTCCAGTGTTATACCATTCAAAGGCAACAACCATGAGCTTTTTTCAGAAGCAATTCACCCTGCCTGCTAAGTCACGGGGATCATACCTCATAACTGACCAGGTTTTGTCTTCACTTCCCGAAATTCGGGATTATAAGGTCGGCCTTTTGAACCTTTTCGTTCAGCACACGAGCTGTGCGTTAAGCTTGAACGAAAACTGTAAGCTAAAGCATCTGGATCCGGAGAATTCTTGTTGCTGATATGAGAAAATCAAGGGGACTCTGACGTTCGGGAGGATATGAACGATGCTCTTGACAGAATCGCGCCAGCTGAAGGACCTAAGGGAGAGGCTCTCTACCGTCATGAGTGAGTGCTTTGCCTATAAATCGCAAGGTTAGACATTAACAACTGCCAGTGCCGAGGGTCCAGACGACATGCCCGCTCACATCAAGTCTGCACTCATTGGGGCGAGCGTCACTATTCCTATTAAGGATGGAAAGCTTGTAAGTGCCAGCCAATCTTTAACATGACCATAAGTGACTGATATCGCCATAGGCTACAGGAACTTGGCAAGGAATCTGGTACCTTGAATTCCGTGCCGCTCGCCACCAGAGACGTGTCGTTGCAACTATCCAGGGAGAGAAAGCTTGACTGAGATGCACAGGAAAGTGGAACTTAGATGTATAGAAAAGGCAAAGAAAAGAAAAGACTTGAGCTTTTACACGTCCTCCCTATACGGACAAACAACCAAAAACGCCGAACACCATCGCCATGTCTCCGCGGCCCTATAGGGAGATCAGCTTGTTCCATTCTCCTCCTTCATGTCCGTATCGTCGCCTGCCAAGACTTTTGTGTACGGAACATAGCCCTCTGGCGCGGCAGATCCTGGTGTAGCAGCGACGACGTTGCCATTCTCGTCCACGAACTCGAAGTTGTATCGACTGAGAAGATGGGGAATTGCAGAAAGCTGTGGGCCGTATCGGGCAGTGTTGTCGTAGAGTTCGAATAGAGGAACGGCCAGAAGCTTCATGTTCTTGGGAACACTTAGAACCTCTACAAGAAGAATCAGTATCCAGTTGCTTGATGATGACCAGCTGACCTACTTTGTTTGGGCAATTGAATAAAGTAGAGCTTCTTGCATTCTTTTGGCCTCGTCACATGCGCCGGTATGAACGGATACATGAACGTTTCAAAGTTAGGCCTCCACCACTGTGCCAGGCAGTCACCCACTTGCCAGTCGCCAGCTTCCTCCCCCTCTCCCAAGCGGCCCACAGGCGCCAATCTCTCGTCCAGTCGCGACTTGAAGCCTTGGATCTCATCGTCTTCGGGGCGTAGGTAGTCTCCGGGGAGCTTGAAAAAGGCATTGGCGATTTGTAGCATCAGAATATGTGGATGGTTGTGCTCGTGACAGACGAGAATGCCTTCGCAAGTGCGGCGCATCCCATGTTCCGTGTAGTGTTCCTCGAGTCTCTTGAGACGAGCGATGACTGATGGGTCCTCTTCAGGCTGGGTTTCCTTGACTCCAAACGTGTAGTTCGACAGTGGGTAGAGCGTCACCTTTTCGGGTTGGTTACCATTGAAGGACAGGGGAATGACGGGCGGCTGTCCTGACTGAAGCGCATCGGGGGTTATTGTTGACATGGCTGTTATCCAAGCGCTATTACTTCGGAAGTATGGTATAGTCAATTATCGCGAGAGTCGCTCAAGGTCTGATGCCGTCGTCGAATCGAATGCGGGCTTGGTGAGAGATCTGGGTACCTTAGTAGTGAATTGCGGAGAGCTCAGGTCAGTCAGTGCTTGTAGAGCTCCAGGATTATTCACGGCAAAATATGTCCCAAGTTCTTAAAGAAGAAGGCGGTGTAAGGCCACCAGGATGGAAGCAACCAAATAAAACGCATAACGTATTAGGTAGACTCATAATCCGTTGTCAAAATTGGTGTAAACAAATCAGTGTGCAACTTGGTTAGGATGTTCTCTCAGTTGAGTTGATACTATATATTGGTATTTGTTTGGCGTAGAAAACGCGGTATTTCTAATGAGTTAACGTTCTCAACCGTTGTGAGAAGCTTGTTACATCCAATCACGATCACGTAAGGTTAGACCTCTTTTTTAACGTTTCGACAAACTTGCTTCACAGTTAAGCAGCCGTAATGATATACTAAGACACAAGGCTTGTAGTAAAACCCGAAATGCGAGCTGAGGTCACTGTGCGTTAACTATTCGATGACCTCAGCGCACCAATGTTTTCTTATGTCTATCTGAGCCTTCATCATGATGTTTGCATCTCTTGTTATGATCTAAACTGACGGATAGTATCATGGCTAGCTAGCTAGAGCCATGTCATTGAGGAATTTTTTATTCTCATTGACGTGCCTTCTCAGGTAATGAGAGCAAGGATCCTTGGAACTAGTCTGAAGATTGCTTCTATGATGCAACTGGCTGAGGTTTCTGATGGTCCTGTATGATAAAAGTTCCGAGCTGGTTTCGATCGATCGCTTTCACACAGAATTTTTATATACTGACGAAACATAACTGCAGCTGATAACTGGAGAGGTACCCGCCCTGACTGCGACGAGGTACAAGTCTGAGTGTTTGGTTAACGGGGTTAACCGGCGGGGGTTCCTTTTTTTTCAGCGTGCCCAATCGAATTGGCTGAGTGCTTCCAGGCGAGAGGTACTACTATGGAGGTGTCTTATCCCTGGAACAGATGTTAGAAAAGTGATCATCGTATTAATTGTCCGGAACCGGCCAGTCAGGACAAAGAATTGTTGTTTGGCTGAGCTACCATAACTTTAGGATGGGAGCTGACGAAGTCAGAGAAGATCAACCAGTTCGTCCATTGAGCAAATCAGATAACAGGCAGTCGATTGGTGAATCGCAGTAGGACTAGTAACAATCGAAGCATTCACTCATCTATCCATCCATCCATTCATTCATTTGATGCATTACTACGTATTCTCTCTATCTGAGCTGTCAAAAAGTTGGAGACATCGGTAGAGAGATTGATCGAGACCCATTGTATCTCGAGTTTTAGAATGGTCTAGCCAGACTTAGAACCAGGGCCGCTATTAGGCGTACCAATGTTCACACTATCACCCCCCAAACCTCGATTTGTGTTTGGTCTGCCCACGGCGTCGTCGCCATCAAAATCAAAATCCCCCATTCTAACGTTGACTTACCTATCTCTCGCCCTTACTACTCACAATCCTGCAAAATCCTTCACGTGCCGTCACTCATAAAAAACCCTTCTCTGGCAAGGCAAGCATCTTCTCCGAGCTTGTTGCGTCATGCGCATACCGAGACATCCCTCTTTGCCTAGTCTTAGCTCGCCTGGAGGAACCTGTTAAAACTCAAGGCACTACGAGTACTGTAGAGGTATACGAGTAGACTATGGATGAGGCAAGCCTTGTCAATAGCCTCTCTCAGAGGCTCTCAGAGCTCGAGCACAAGGTTCACACCTTTCGCCACGAGGTGGCAGCTGATTTCCTGCGCTACTACCACGATCTGCTCCGAGACACACAACCCGACATCGCTTCCAATGTTGCCCAGTCCATTGCCCAGTCATTACCCAAATACCCAGACCTCAGTTCAGTTCTCACAAGTCTGGATCTGGACCTCAAAGCTGCAGCTGACTCACAAACTCTACCACTTGAATCGGCTCAACGCCACTTTTCCCCGCCGGCCACTGTCGCTACCTCCGGATCGGGAGCCGCAGAGCCTCCAGGCAGCCCCCGCGATCGACATCACGAATTGCTCTTTTACCTTCCCCTGCTAGAGGGCTCTCCTCCAAGACCGCCTACCTCTCCTCCCCTCACAAACAACCACACTCCCCCTCTCGATATGTTGTTGCCTGACCCGAGCATCCAGGCAGACGAGAAGCAACACTCGGCCACCGAGACAGGAAGGAAACCTGATAATGGCACTGACCAACTGCAGAATGCCTTGCCGGTAGTGCCTCCTTCGCCTGGACGGCCGGGTCATGTTCGTCGTTCAACCAATGATACAGTCTCATCATGCCATTCGGATCGAAGCGAGTCGAAAACACCACGGAGCGCCCTACGACGGTCCTCAAGTAGTTCCAAGCCTCCACAAAGCCCCAGACGTGTGCGCTTTGATGTCATGGGGGCAGAGGTCTTACCTACAGCATCACCACAACCCACCGATTCCATGATTCCCTCCGCAGCCTCTGCCGCCTCCACCGACCAGCCTCGTGCAGAATCCATGCTCGACGACGACCTGGAGGACCTACCACCACCCCGCAAGATCTCATCTTCGGAAGCGCTGAGAGCACTATCCAGGGCGCCGTTGGAGGAAGGAGTGTGGACCGAGGTTAACTCAAACCCAGATCAAAGCTCTGGTGAAGAGGATAAGAAACCTGCAGCCATCCCTGAATCCCCGTCAGAAGAACGGGCCAGCCCAATTATCATTGCACCAGAACCGCCATCGTCACGCCACGTTCCCGAATCTGTTCGCATTGAACGCACGTTGGGAAGCGTAAGTGAGGAGCCAGACGAGGACCAGGATTCATCGGATGACGACTTTCTCTCAATGGCGAAATCTAGATCTTTTACCAATAAGAAAGCTCCAGCATCGCCATCTTTGAACAGGATCCCCGAGGAGAGCCAGACCACTGGGCATGTTGCAAGCCCAACTTCACCTACCAATGCTCAACGTTCTGGTGCACACGATGAAGCGGGAGCCGTTGAAGAAGACTTGGACGAGGACGATGAGCTTTTTCACTTTGAGGAAGGCGGCGGCTTATCTGCGCCACCAAATCCCAAATCGAAACCAAAACCTCTTGCGGTCGAGGAGGAGATCGAAGTTGACTTACCGGATGTACCGGAGTCTGAGCAGTCTCTATACGCAACTTCACCGGCAGTACATATAACCAAGAGGCCTGGCTCAGGGCCGACGACACCAATCGCGGCCCGATTCCAAGCTGGTTCCGTGGGATCATACAAAGGACGGCCAGTAGTTATGCCTGTCGTTCGTAATCCCGAAGTACATGCTCAAGCTGCCTCATTAGGGCACTTCAATACGTTTGTTGGAGGATTGGACGGACGCAGCGGCATGGATGAGGCAGATCTAAGCAGCTTCCGTGCCAGCGTCGCCAATACTGGCTTCTCTGGCACCCCACGCAGTTTCACGGAACGCCTGATGATGGAAGAAGCTCAAAAGGCGAGGGCTGGTGGTTCGAGGCTAAGCTAAGAATACATTGTACCACAAAGGAGTTTGGGGATCTTATGCATACGTCAGGGCTTTAGGCCTGGGATTCTGGATAGCTCATCGTTGGCGTTGAACACATTGCGACAGGGAGTTTATATATATATATATATATGTATATACAGGCGGTGGGTTGTGGATTAAGGATGATCTACGATTAGAAAACGTTATATATACCTCTTCATTGAGGGAAGGGTTGATCATGGCATTCGAGAAAGCAGCAACATCTCATGAGAATACCCTAATATGAATCTTTGTTCTCCGTATAGGTAGTTTTGGTATCATGATGTCTCAAAATATCTTGCATCAGCTCACATGGAAAGCTACCAATCATCGTAATCTGATTTTCACAGTGGGGTAGTATCCTAACGCTCTACCGGGGGTATGCGCCTAGAAGCATCATCCCGTCATGCAAGACAAACATTTTGCCTCCATTGATTACAGCATCAACTCAATTGCCTAAGAAAGTGCCAAAGAAAACGACGTTCAAAATGGGTGGTCTTAATCTCGAAGTGTTCAAGGTATATTTATATTGTGTTCCCGCAGCAAAATGTTACATGTTACGATTGGCTCTGTTGAAAATGATGACGAGTTGCGAACAAGACACTGACATGACATGTTCGCAGTTCGGCACGTATGTCATGTTTCCAATCGGAATCATGTTCTACTTTGGAACCAACCTCGACAACCGCTTCGCCGTACCTGGCTTTTGGCCCAAGCCCGAAGAGTGCAACAAGATCCCCAAGGACCGAGACGAGATCAAAGCCGAGTATGAGCGCATCGTGGCGCGACAAAAGCTGCGACAGGCCAAAAAGCTTGAAGAGGAACGCAAAAGAGCAGCACAGCAGCCCGAAAACGACCAGCCCGATTCTTGAAGCCCCGGGACCCAGATTCAAGCATGTACATTATTAGCCGGAGGGTTCGGCAACGGCAGCATTAACGATGTATTCATGGCGTTTGGAAGGCATTGGAAATATTCCCCCTCTATTAGTATGGGCAAAATACAGCATTGTACAAAATTGTTACAAAATCATTGCTGCTCTATGTTTTATACATCCAGGTTTCTTTCAACCTTGTCCCACTCTTCGTCCCCTACAGCTCCCTGGCGTACATTGGCATAAATGGCTCTGACTTCAGGATATTCCTTGAGTCCGTTGAAGAGCACATCGAGAGCATCGGCTTGCTCTGGTGTGTCAATGCTGACTTTTGTGTCCTCGTTCGGTGCCCAGACAATGTCTGAGTCGAGAATCTCAAGCTCAAACTTCTTAGACAGAGCCTCAGTGATGGCCGTCAACGTGTTTGGCTGGGTCCAAGCCAAGAAGTTACCCTCTGGCAGTTCCTCGACATCTTCCAATCCCTCGTGCTCAATCGCCTCATCCAGAACATCTGAGAGTGACGGCCCGCACTCTTGACCTTTA